TTTTTTTATTGATTTTATTGAGGTATACATTTTTCTCTGCTCCCCTCCCTTCAACCCTTCTCATAGTCCCCATGCTCCCAACTCACTCAGGAAATCTTGTCTTTCTACTTCCCATGTAGATTAGATCCATGTTTGTCTCTCTTATGGCCCTTATTGTTGTCTAGGTTCACTAGGGTTATGAAGTGTAGGCTGGTTTTCTTTGCTTTATGTCTAAAAGCCACTAATGAGTGAGCACATATATTTGTCTTTCTGGGTCTGGGTTACCTCACTCAATCAGATATTTTCTAGATCCATCCATTTATTTGCCTACAAATTTCAAGATGTCACTATTTTTTTTTTCTGCTGTGTAGCACTTCATTGTATAAATGTACCACATTTTCCTTATCCATTCTTCAGTCGAGGAGCAAACCTTTATCCAAACTAACCAAAAGGCCAAGAAAGAATTTCCAAATTAACAAAACCAGAAATGAAAAGGAGGACATAACAACAGACACGGAGGAAATCCAGAGAATCATTAGGTCTTGTTTTTAAAACCTGTACTCCACAAAATTGGAAAACTTAAAAGAGATGGACAACTTTCTGGATAAATATCAGTAGTGATTTTTTAATGTAGTACTATTTAACTTCACGAATATTCCAGTGCTCCAAACATGCAAGAAGTGCCAGAGCATTGCCAATTATTTAAGGTAGCGAGGTTCTTCTACTTCCACTGGAGAAACAGTCTGTGCCTTTGCTGATGATGAAGAGTCCTAGATCATAAATAAACAAGTACATAAATGAATGATTTGAAATGTACAGAATGTAACTAAAAACAATTCCAAATATTCTCATATCCACTGACCACCATCCCCCCTTTTCTACACTAAGAGTTGCAACAGAATGCCATGTTACTATATTACAAAAACAACAACAGCAACCAAGACAATCCGAGGCAAAATGAATGCCCCCTACAGTGCCCACAGGTCCAGCCTCTGTGCATCCCCTGAGCTATGGCTCCCCTAAAAGGCATCTTCCCCCACAGCCTCCACATCGAGGAAAGTACACCAGAAGCCTGTTCAGTTATTTTCTTCTCATTACAAACCTTAGATATATACAGTGGACATAGATCTTATACCTTACAAATTGAAAATAAAATGCCAAAAACAGCTCCAGGTGCCTTCTCACACCAAGAGCAAACTGTGGTGTAAGAGCACAAATGCCTTTTTATTTACTTTACCTATTTTAAATATTTATTTAATTTTACATGTATGCTTGTTTTACATGCATGTATGTATGTGCACCATATGTGTGCAGTGCCTGAGAAGGCCAGAAGAGGGCACTGTGATTTCTACAACTGAAGTTAAAGGAAGTTGTAAGCCACTATGTGGGTGCTGGGAATCTAACCAAAGTCCTCTGCCAAAGCAACAAGTGTTCTGTGATGGTTTGAGTGGGAAATGCCCTCTATAGTCTTGGACATTTGAACACTGGATTCCAGTTCATAGTGCTGTTTGTGGAGGTTTAGGAGGTACAGCCTGTACAGCAAAAGTCTGAACCCATTTCTGGGTGAAAAAACTTACCCAAGCCCACCAACCTCTGAGCACAAAAACCCTCCAATCCTCACACTTGCCCCAAGATCAGGCCACATAACCCCTCCAATCTATCTTTCTTTCTTTCTTTCTTTCTTTCTTTCTTTCTTTCTTTCTTTCTTCTTCCCTCCCTTTCTTTCTTTCTTTCTTTCTTTCATTCTTTCTTTTTGGTTTTTCAAGACAGGTTTCTCTGTGTATCCCTGGATTTCCTGAAACTTGCTTTATAGACCAGGCTGGCCTCAAACTTAGATATTCACCTGCCTCAGCCTCCTGTGTGCTGGGATTAAACATGTTGATAGCCACAACCAGCTGAGAGAAAAGTAATTCTCAAAAGGAAACTGACATATTGCAATGTAAATATGCAATTCTCAGATCCCTGCTAACTTAACTTCTTAAATCAGGAATATAGTCTATAAAATCTGCAATGCCTATTTGTCTTTCAAGCACTTCTTCGAACAGTGCCTTTTTGTCAGAACTGCCAGGTTATTCTGGTGTCATGGTTTTTCCTTCCTGGTAAGATGCCTAGAAGGCAAGCACTGTTGGCCAGCTAATTTAACAGCAGCTCCATTGCCATGGTCAACACGGCAGGATGCTCTCGGGAGGAGTTAGTAGAAGTCTGCTTGTGCTCCTTGTTTTCCCTCTCGTCATTGAACAGTCTCCGTGGTGCTCTTGGAAGGAAGGCAGAATCCAGAATAGAAAAGTCAACTGAATTTCTGAATGGATTTTTTTTTTCAGCACTGGCTGAAATAAACCTTTAGAAAACTTGAATTAAAAAGAGAAAAGAAAACCTGGATTTTAAGATAAAAATACTGGTTTCTCAAGAAAGACTAGAGAATCCTAGAGCAATGAAGGATAAATAATAGTGTCCAAAAATCGCGTCCAAGCAGTTTGTCTTACTAGGAAACTGGGGCCAGGTGGTGGAAGGAGGCTGGAGACGGTGACTAATTCAGAGGTCAGCTGGTCTCTAAGTTAGGTTACTACCTGAGTCTCCATTCCTCCTTGGCTCTAATCAGAGTTGGAGGCTGAAGGTAACACTATAAATATTTGGAAAGTCCAAGTAGGCAGCATGGTGGGGGGATTTAAGGAAGGAGGTCCAAGGAAATGGAGCCAAGAGCACTTTCCACTCACCTTGGTGGCCAATGCTTAGCACTCCTAAAAATGCACTGGGAAGGGGATCGGCTGTGCAGAGAAGTTCCAGGAGCATCTCTAGACGGCAACCCAGGGCACAGAACGTGACGTCCATAACAAAACTTCGAAAGGGGTAAGCAGCATGAGGTCTGTATTCCACACAGTCAACAAGCACCGTGACTGGCCCCTACTGGCAGCCATCCTATAAGCACCTAAAGAAAAATGGACAAAGAACACAAACACACAAGTCCTAGAATCACTGTATGCTCAACAATAGAGGGAAAACATTTTCCCAGACATTTCTAGTGAAAGTTAGTAACTACTGTGTCTTTGTAAAACCATCTAGATTGTTGACAGGAGTTTCTGTCCTGCCCAGTCCCACAGCCATTTAGTCCCAAATAAGCACACCACAGAGGCTTATATTAATTATAAACTCTTGGGCCTATTGCTCGGGCTTATTATTAACTACCTTTTACAACTTAAATTAATCCATAATTCTTATCTATGTTTAGCCATGTGACTTGGTACCTTTCCTCAGTGGGGCAGTCTTGCTTCCTCTGCTTTTAGATGACAATTGACTCTCTACCTTTCCTCTTCCTAGAATTCTTAGTCTGGTTGCCCCACCTATACTTCCTGCCTAACTACTGGGCAACCAGCATTTTATTAAACTAATATAGGTGACAAATCTTTATAGTGTACAAGAGCATTATCCCACAGCACTAGATATATTTATTTAAAATAAATAAATGAAATATATTTTATTTACAGACATGCATGCACTTCAAACAACTGAGCCCATTTCAGAACTTTTTATTTCATAAAAATAATAGCTTTGGTGAATAAAATTCTATGTGGTAGGGTGGTTCTTATGGAATTGTTCTTGAGAGACACAGAGAGATACTGAGAGAATGCTTACCTATTCAGGAGATGCTTTAAGAATGATAATATGTTGATTGTGGCAGTTGAAGGAGACGCAGTGATCGCACGTCAGCTTCTGGAAAGACCCAGAGTCTCATTTCAGGCCACCATCAGAAAAGCTGAGTTTGCTATATTAGAAGGTCAGGAAATCCAACCTTGTAACTTCCCCAACTACAAAATCCTGCCTGGCATTACCCAGTGCATGCTTCCAGAAATCCCAGAAGATCTGTAAGATTCTGTCTAGGAGATCACTGGGAGTACTTGGGAGGATAGAAGGAAGATACTAGAAAGAAAACAAAGTTGAACAGCTCTAGAAAGAAGGGCCCTCCAACTCCAAGGCAAACATCTGTGCACGAACCAGCATAGAATATTGTGCAGAGAAGCAAAATGAAAGCAGCTGGCTCAGGAAGAAGTCCTTAATATCCGGCCAAATAATCTGAACCAGCTCTCCCAAGAAGTTGATTTAGGAAGAGGCTGCTCTGTGGAGCACCTCCCTTCAGAAGCTATGAGAAGACAAGGAGGAACAGGTTGAAGATATCTGGAAATGGAGATGGTAGCAGTACCGGTGAAGTACCCCAGCTCTCTACAAAGTAAAAGGTTTGAGTAAATCACATTGTTGGAAGGAAGGAAACTAAACCAGGCATGGTGGTGCATGCCTTTAATCCCAGTCCTGGGGAGACAGAGGCTAGTGGATCTCTGTGAGTTTGAGGCCAACCTGGCCTATATAGTGAGTTCCAGAACAGCCAGGGTTACATTGAGAGACTGTGTCTCAAAACAAAGCAAAAATCAGAAAGAAAGGAAGCGGGTGTGTGTGTGTCTGTCTGTCTGTCTATCTGTGTATGTTAAAAAAAAGTAAAGAATTGCCAGGCGGTGGTGGCGCACTTCTTTAATCCCAGCACTCGGGAAGCAGAGGCAGGCGGATCTCTGTGAGTTTGAGGCCAGCCTGGTCTACAAGAACTAGTTCCAGGACAGGCTCCAAAGCTACAGAGAAACCCTGTCTTGAAAAAAACAAACAAACAAAACAAAAAACAAACAAACAAAAAAAGAAGTAAAGAATTTCAAAGAGATCTGAAACGGATAAAATTCTAAAGGAGTTAAAGACCCAGCTAGAATTTCTGGAGAAGCTCTATGGCTGCTGCTTTAGAGTCAGCTGCGGTTCAGAGTGGAACAGAAGACAGGAAGATGGCAGCTGCTAAGACCACAGGCCATGTGATCTTCAAGTACTAGGCCAAGCAGAAGCCCAATGGCCGTCAAAAGCTAATTAAGGGGAAAAAAATCACTTTGAAAGCTAGACATTGTAGCATACATTGGAAAGACAAAGCAGGCGGATATCGAGTTCCAGGCCATACGAGGCTATATAACAAGATGCTACCTCAACCCTCTTCCAAAAACGCAATTTAAGATGACAATGTAAAGACTGATACATCTATTTTATCAGTCTAATACACTTTTGTGCGTGTTCTTTTGTGTGTATAAACACGTTCATGTGTGCTTGCCTTCGTATGCATGCGCATGTAGAAGTCAAAGGAGAACACTGGGTGTTGTTCTTTTTTTGTTTCCTTGGGACGATTGTGAATTCCAGCTACTAAGATCACAGGTGGTGTTAGCTTTACCATTTTTTGTTTGTTTTTCTGCAATAAAAATTTTCCCAAAATAATGTATAAAAGAACAAGAAATGAGCAGTTACCTGTGATGTGCAAGGTCAGGTTAGATAAGAATTGAGGACTGTACATTGAATTCATCGAGGAAAGCCAGTCACAGCAAATATTTGTTAAATACCCTCTAAGCCCAAGGTGTTTTGACATGTAACAAAAGGGAGAAATGAACATGCGATCCAGCTTATGGATTTTGATGCTGTAGCTTTTATTTTCACAATAATGATGGAACTGGTGATAGTAACAATGATAAATTACTCAGAAAATCATGATCAGCATCATAAAAAATTTTGAATCCACTGCAGCTACGAGTTGTAAACTTTCTGTGTAGGTGAAGGTCCTGGATCGGCAGCGGACACTGGCCTTACTGGAAGCATTCTATGATCAAAGTTCACACCCTGCTAGGAGCTTCCTCCGAAACCCACGGCAATGTAAGTGTTGTTCAGAGGTAAGAGTGCACTCAAGTTGGGGGTCGTAGGACAATGGCAGATAACATGGGATCATTCTACTCCCAAGGGATCTCTTTGTACCATATCCTTAAGTCATGGTAACCATACATTATCTACTTGCTCATATTCCCACAGAATTCACTCTTCTTCACAAACACCAGAGTGCAATATCCAAACTTCTGTCACAGCAAAATTCAGCTAGAACAAATTTTAAATGTGATTCGATGAAGAAAGGCTTTGGGAATCCTTTGAATGCCTTAGAAACTAAATCAAAAATAGTTATTCCATTTATAATGCCCAAGCCAGAATTCCAAGATTTCTGTGAGAAGTGTTTCCTTTTCCAAACAGCTTTACTTACTTTGCTTTAGTGGTAAAATATACATGTATACTAACATGTTCAAATATTCTTCTGTATGTTTATCAATAAACGCCATTACAAGGTTGTTGGTTTTTTACATTATTTATTATGAGAGGGAGGGTGCCATAGCATTCCCATTGAAGTCACAAGGCAGCTGTAAGTTCTCTCCTCCCACCATGTGGGGTCAGAGGGTCAAATTCAGAGCCTCCCTCTGTCTTCGCAGCATGCTCCTTTACCTCTGAAGCATCCTTCAGCTCTAGTTTTATTTTTTTTTAAGAGAATGCCTTTTAATGGTCAATTTTGCTAAACAATATTAATATCTTATTTCTGTGTGCAGACTTATTACTTGGATACTCAGAATCTGTAGGTAGTATACTGAAAGTTGTAAGAACCACAATATTATAACTTAATTATTAAATATTTCGAGAAGAATGGGGACAGATGGGATTTTGTGGGATTTTATTGGGGGGTGCTTTTTCAGATCAGGTCTCATTATGTAGTCCAGTAAATCCTGGGGACCATAAATCTCCCCCTCACCTGGGGTCATGGCCAGCATAGTCCTATCCAGGAGATTTTGTTACTGGGATCAATAGCAAGATCCTTGTGAAAAACCAGCTTTTTCCTGAAGTCCTTCCTTCTTTCCACTACCTCGTCCTGATGTGGGATACTCTTCTGTACACTGTCAATATGTTTTATTACCATTGGTTAATAATGAAGCCGATTTGGCCAATAGCCAGGCAGAATAGATCCAGGTGGGAAATCCAAGCAAAGACGAAGGGAAAAAGAAGGTGGGTCAGGGAGATACCAGCAGCTGCTGGAGAAGAAAACTGTGAGGTAACAAGCCACGAGCCTCATGGTAAAACATAGAATAATAGAAATGGGTTAAAAGTTGTAAGAGCTAGTTAATATTAAGCCTGAGCTAAAAGGCCAAAGAGTTTATGACTAATATTAAACCTCCGAGTGGTTATTCGGAAATTTCAGGCAGGAGAGGAACCTCCAGTTACATTACCTTTGTCTCTCCTCCCTTCCTTTCTTCTCTACTGAAAACTGCACTTACATTAAGTACACAATCTACCCCTAAGCTTCACTCTAACTCCTTCGCATAAAATTCTGAACCACCTGTCCACCTAAGTCATCAAAGAAGAGTTGAGTAATAAAGAAAAATGGAAAGGAAAGGATGGAAATTAAACCCAGGGAAAGGTTGTCATTGATAAGGCTAGTTTTTCCTTATATACTGCAGGATTTTTCAATTTTAATTGTTATTATTTGAGCATGAGTGTGATGTGTATGTGTTGAAGGGGGGGGCATGCCTGCCACAGTGTACATGCGGAGGTCAGAGGGCAACTTTGTGGGATCGGTTCTCTTCTTCTGTCTCTGTGTGAGTTCTGGGGATCCAACTCAGGTCATCAAAGTTGGGCAGCAAGCACATCTCTCCAGCCTGTATTGCGGATACTTTAAAAGATACTTGAGATGGAAAGACAGTCCCCACCTCTGTACTGCGCTTATTGCATGCAAAGGGACCACAGAAGAAGGTCATTTGTTTTAGCAATCCAAGCAAATCTCCAAATATGAAAATAAAAGATATGTCCATTTTGTAAACCACACCTTTCAGGAAGAGTTGATAATTCATAGTAGTAAGAATTCTTGATGTTCGTTTGAGTGTCTAGTTGCAGCAAAAGGTACCTAATTTTGTTTGTTTGTGTGGGTTTGTTGTTATTGAAGACAGACTCTCTCTCTGTGTGGAACTCATTATGTAGACCAGGCTAGACTCAAATTTAAGATCTGCCTGCTTCTACCTCCCGAGTGCTGGAATTAAAGACATGTGCTATCACACCCAGTTCTGATATGTTTTTAAAGTAATAAGCTTATGTTATATGACTGCCCTCAATGCTGTTTTTTACATTAATTCAATAATTCTGATTCTGTATTGTAAGATCGATTGTTTAGATAAATCCTTTACTGTCTGCAATAGGGCCATTAACCGAATTTGAGGAGATAGAGTGGTCTGAATTCTGGGGCGATACAGATATTAAAAAGCACATTTATGAAGACTTTGATGAACTGCTCTTAAGAATGAATGTGTTAGCTGCTAAAAAACTTGCTGACAAACCCCAAGAAATGGAAGATCAAAATCTTCCACAACAGCCGAAAGAGACAAGTGCCGACCAAGAACCATCCCCCGACTCAGCCACAGCGCCAGGAACACAGCTGGCTTCAGAACAAGGAAGCAGCAGAGAACAGAAACCCGACAAAGAGTCACTTAAAGGACAAGAACAGGGCACAGGGTTACACAAATCGTCCGATTCGGGACAAGGATCCCCCAGGGCGTCAGCAGTAGAGCCAGGATTACAAAGGGGGTCAGTCGCAGAGCAAGAGTCGGCATCAGAACAAGAGCCACAGACAGGGCAAGACTCAAACAGAAAATCGGTGTCAGAACAAGAACCACAAAGAGGGTCAGTTACAGAGGAAGAAGGATCACAGAGAGGGTCAGTTTCAGAACCTGTGCAACGAAGAACATCAGCAACAGGACAACGCAGAAAATCATCTGCAGATACGGGGTCTCGTAGGGGTTCAGAAGCCGGATCGCGCAAAGGATCAGGGGTAGAACAAGGACAGCGCAAAGGATCTGGAGGTCCGCGCAAAGGGTCAGCAGGACGCAAGATGTCGTCTTCAGAGTATGAATCACACAAAGAGTCCATAACGGAGGAACCACAATCTAAGGCAGAGCAAGGACCACCGATAGACACCATTCTAGAAGAACAGGACGCAGACTCAACCTCACAAAAAAGCAACACCTTAAAAGAAAGTGAAGCCTCGGAATTTGATAAAATGGAATCTCAAGAAGAAAAGTCTTTGCCAGTCATAAATGAGGAGGAACAAGCTGCCATGGATTCCCAACAGGGTGAGGAAGTTCCCATGTACAGCAAAGATGATCGTCCGCCAGAGAGCAGCGAAAAAGATCACCTTCCAGGTAGTTATCTAGTTCTGTCAAATCTGCTTTTTGTTTTCTGGAGTGACCGTTAAAAAGTCTCTTCAGAAAGCACTCATTAAGTTAGTGCCTCTGCTGGCATATCTTATCATGAAAGCCGCAGGTGTGTTTTCCTGCTCAGCACTTGAGCCTAGACTTTGAACGCTCAGCTAGATGAAAACCAGAACGCTTATTGATTTGCCTAGAATTTCATTTATACCAAAAGTCCATCAATATGAAATCTAGGAATATTTTAATGTTTTTTTGAAAGCAGAAACATTTTTGTTCTAAATGCAAGTCACTTTTAATTTTTCTTTTATTTCAACAACAAATGGGCCAGGAATGGTGGCATTTGCCTATAATCTTCACATTCAGGAGGCAGATGAAACTGAATTGCTGCAAGTTGGAGGCCAACCTGGTTTACATAGTAAGGTCCAGGCCAGTTAAGGATATATAGAGAGACCCTGTCTCAGAAAAACAAACACGCAAACAGTATTTTACCTCTTTCATTTTTGCATTTTTCTATAAGTTTCCAAAAACCTATATTTCAGACAAAAAACACTGAATTTTAACTATTTTAAAGTATTTTTAAATTTTATGTGTATGGGTGTTTTGCTTGTATACATGTTGGCACCGTGTATGCAGTACCCACAGAGGCCAAAAGAGGGCATGAGAGCCTCTGGAACTGGAGTTTCAGATGCTTGTGAGACACCCTCTGGGAGCTGGGAACAGAAAGTAGACCCTCTTCAAGCACAAGAGCTCTTAAATGGCTAAGCCATCTCTCCAACGCCCTGATTTTCAATATGTTTTCATCTCATTGGTTAAAATTCAGACATCTAGTAACACTTTGCTATAAGAGAGACTGAGAAATACAACCTCACTTTGTATAGCCAAACAAACAGCTTTTGCTCCAGCCTTTCTCAACAATTAAAATTATTAAGTGATTTTATTTTGGTTGATTATGACACACACACATACATGGGAAGGTCTTGGAGTTTTTGGTTCTTATGCATGCAAGGAATTTGTCCCATAGGAATTTTCTTTTCTAGTGTGTATGTGTGTGTGTGTGTACACATGTGCACGCACATGCATGCATGTGCACATGTCACAGTACACGTGTGAAGGTCAGAGGAAAACTTTCAGGAGTCAGCTCTTTCCTTCTGCCCTGCGAACCCTTGGGGCTAAACTCAGGTCGTTGGATTTGAAAGCAAGAACATTTTACCCGCTAAGCCATCACACCAGCCTTATCTTGTTCTTTTATTCCTATTAGAAACTTCAAAAAAGGACGCTCAGAAAGACAAAGCCTGTGACCCGAAGCCCCAACATATAGAAGGAAAACAGTGGTCAGGTAGCTGCTCCCTTAGTGCCTTTCCTTTGTGCCTGAGAGGAAAAGCACGGCCAATGGGGAATGAAATGGGCTGTGTGGTGGAACGTGTTTTCACAGGGGGATTCTCCATCTTTGACTGGAACATGAAGCATGTCCAATCTGAAGATGAGGAGCAGGCAAAACTGATCTATACTGACTCCAGATTCACAGGTACGTGTGAAAAAAGACACTAGGAAACACAGGTGACAGTCCATGCGTGACTCTAGTTCACCACTGTGCCTGCTGGTGAAGGCTGGGTTGAACTAGGACATACTGATGTCCTTACACCATCTCGTCCCTGGGAACTGACAAAGCTTGAGTAAAGATGGGTGTTTGGGTGGTGGTATGCTTTTGGTGGTGACGTATACTATTGATGAATGTTCTCATGCTTTAAACTGCTGGCATTGGTATACTTTATTTTTAACTGTTGCATACCCTAATGCTTCTTTAAAGACCATGATCCAAACATATAAAAGGAATCGCATAGTAGAAATTAGAACTCAATTAAAAATATATTTATTTCCCTAGTAGGTCTACACCCAAATATCTTAGACAGGTGAGTCTGTCTTTGATGTGGGATTCTACTCTGTATGCTGTGAATACCATTGGTTAATAAAGAAGCTGATTTGGGCCTGTGATAGGGTAGAGCAGAGCTAGGCAGGGAAAACTAAACTGAATGCTGGGAGAAAGGAGGGTGGAGTCAAGGGAGAAGCCATGTAGCCCTGCCAGAAATAGACACACCAGAACCTTGTCAGTAGGCCACAACCTCGTGGTAAAATATAAAATACTGGAAATGGTCAATACTAGATGTAAGAGCTAGCCAGCAATACACTTAAATGATTGGCCAAGCAGTGATTTAAATAATATAGTTTCTGTGTGATTATTTTGGGAGTCTGGGCGGCCAGGAAGATAAACAAGCAGCTTCATACAGCATGTATTGTTTATGAAGACTTAACAGAGAAAAAAACTATTGAACTGATGGAAGAGCAATTCTTAGCTCTCAGGTAATCCATGTCATAGCTATGATTATTTCAGGTAATGCTCATATTTTTTAAAATGCTATTTTATTATCTTCTCCATCACTTTAAGTGGTAGATCTAATCATAATTAGATCAAGATTATTTTCTACATGCAATCTTTTGTCATTTAAGCCTAAATCAAATAGTAAACTTTGTTTTCAATTTGATTAGCAAATTAACTGATTGGTATTTGTGTGTGTGATTTATGCATGCTTGTGCGCTTACGTATGGGTGCAGGCATCTATGTTTATGTGTGGGAAGCAGAGATTGATTTATCTCTTTCTGTTGCTGACACCTTACTATTTTTTAGATAAGATCTTTGATGGAGCCTGGAGCTTGCTAGTTCACCTACACAGCACTGGGATTACAGGCACACGCTCCTGCACCCAGCTTTTACATGGATCTAAACCCAGCTTCTCATGGTTGCTCGGCAAAGCCCTTTACCCACAGAACCATTTCCCAGGGCAGAAATAACACACCATCTGTCCCCAAAATATTTTAATGACCAAGCATAGCATTTGTCAAGTTCCTGTGAGTGGCAAGTTCATGTTCTTCATCTATATCCACTTTTATTGGCAATGTTTTTTAAAATCTCATGAGTAATCATTTCTAAGTTACATCAGATCCCATAGAGACGGCATAACGACATGAGTGATTGAATCAATGAATAAATGAAGCACGAAGCAGTCAGCTGACATTGTATGAAAAATTACTTCATGTTGTCACAGTGCTCTCCAAGACAAATATATTAGCTGACACCCTCAGGGAGAGGAGCTGGTGTGTAGCATTTGTTAATGTACCTAACCGGGAAGTCCAGGATGTAGCTGGCTCTATGGGTACCCAGTTCCAACAGCAGACAACATCTCTCAGCCATATTCTCTGTGACAATTTTAGGCAGTTGTCTTCACATTGTCTCAAAAATGGCCGCAGGATCATCTATCTATGTATCACATTTTACTAATTCAGCAATTAGAACACAAAACAAAATTTTCCCTAGTGGTTCTCAAAATAGTGCTGAAGCTAATTCTCATTGGCCTATTGTAGGCTGCACTGTTGACATACATGAACTTTTGGCCAAACCTTATATCATACATCCGTGGAACATGGGTAGGAGGGCTCCGTGATGTGGGAGTGTCATATATCAATCTGTTGATTTCATTGGTTAATTAAATAAAGAAACTGCTTGCCCTGATAGGTTAAAACATAGGTGGGAGGAGTAAACAGGAGGAAGATGGGAGGAATAAACAGAATGGAATGCTGGGAGGAAGAGGAAGTGAGCTCAGACTCGACAGCTCTGCTCTCTGGAGCAGAGGCCCTGCTTCGCTCTCCTGGGCATACGCAATGAAGCTCCGACCCAGGATGGACGTAGGTTAGAATCTTCCCGGTAAGCGCACCTTGGGGGTGCTTACACACATTATTAGAAATGGGCTAGTCCAGGTGCGAGAATTAGCCTAGAAGAGGCTAGATAGAAATGGGCCAAGCAGTGCTTACATGGATACAGTTTGTGTGTTGTTATTTCGGGGCATAAGCTAGCAGGTGGCCGGGGTGCTGGGGACGCAGCCCCTCCACTCCTATTACAACAGCTCCGTGCCGTCCCACACCTCCCCTAAACTGACACTGGAAGAGAACTGTTCCCCAAAGAAAACTATGGCTGCTGTCGTCATGGATGGAGCGGGGATTCCTGAGAGGCAGAACCAGTGGATACTGGAGGCAGGGTTTAGCTCGGTGACACTGTCCTTATCTGGGATGAGTAACGCCTGTACTCCAATCCCCTGCTCCAGAACAAAGAGAAGGCGGGTTTCTGTCAGGGCAGGGGCTTAGAGAAGCATTTACTTTACTGTCTGATGTGTTTCCCTGCTTTGCAGACCTCCATGCAATTATTAGGAATACTCAGACTTACAAGGAGATCAAAGGGAGGAGTGCCTTCGATGGAGTGTCCCTCAATCTGGTACAGTTTGTGCAGCTCCTCCAGACATTCGTCGGTGAAGACACCCCCTTGAGTGTCAGCCAGAGTCTCGCCTCCTTTTTTCAGAAGAACTATTTTGAAACAAAACAAGAGAAAATGAAAGCCTTAGAACAGGTGGGTAATATTATAGCCATAAATCTCCCAACTTCAGTTGCTCCTAGTACACTCTCTTTAAAAATGTACGACTGAATGTCCCACTTTATTTCTGCCAGCGCAGCCACTAAATACCATTTTGCTTGTCAAGGTCACACTCCAGAGAACGCACTTTCCTAAAAATGACATGATTGCTCCTGGCAAGCAATGGCTCAGAGTGCAGCTTTCTTTCTGTTCTCTGAAGCCCGAGGTGCGGATAGATGTAGATGTGACAGTGTGTGAGTACTGGCTGCCGTGTGCGCAGATATGTATGCCAATGCATAGACTTTAGGGATATATTGATGCCTTGAGTATGTATCTGTGTTCATGGACCCCCAGTGGCACACATTCCTAAGGACTTACAGCCTTCTTGAGTGATAAGTACTCACATGCACACACATTGCCTTAAATGAGCAGCTTACGCTGTCTCGTGGGAAATGTAGGACCTGGTCCCACTGAGTTTATTCAAGGCTTGATATCCCTTTGGCCTCCTCAAATGCTATCCCCTTCCCTTAGCCAGAAGTTACTTATTTACTGTGTGTGTGTGTGTGTGTGTGTGTGTGTGTGTGTGTGTGTAAACGAATCTAAGTGACTATGAGGATCAGAGGCTTTGGACCCCCGGGAGCTACAGTTACGGGCAGTTGTGAGCGGTCAGATGTGGGTGCTGGGAACCTAATGTGGAATGTGGATCTTCTGGAAGAACAGCAGGGTGTGCTCTCAGAAGTGTATTACCCTTTCTAATCCAGTGTTTTGGTCTTGTACAGCAAATTCCAGTGTGTTTTTGGTTGAGAAGTGAAACAGGGAAATGGCAATTGGAGCATTAAAATCAGACTCTGCATGTTCCTCTACTATCTCAGCACCAAAGCAAAGCTGTTTCTAAAAAAAAAAAAGGCCGGGCAATGGTGGTATAAAACTTTGTACTCACTAAGATAGGATTAATAGCATTATTTTCTCTGAATTTGACATATACAAATAGACTGGATAAGCCGGGTGGTGGTGGCGCACACCTTTAATCCCAGCACTCAGGAGGCAGAGACGGGCGAATCTCTGTGAGTTCTAGACCAGCCTGGTCTACAAGAGCTAGTTCCAGGACAGGCTCCAAAGCCACAGAGAAACCCTGTCTCGAAAAAC